AGAGAATTTAAGACCTGAACATTGACAAAAACTTAGGTCAGAAATTGGGGGAGAAGAAATTCTCTCTCATTTCTGAGAGTTAGATCAAGTTTTTTATATGTATGAACTCGTGACATGATGCTCTACATTTTTGGTGTTATGAGTTTTGCTTGAAAGTCCGGGAATCATGAGATAGCAGGAAGCACGCGTTTGCTCTGTTTGAATGTCCAGAGGTTGAAGACAAAGTCTTTGGGCTGGGTCTGAGTTTGTTTTCCTTTTTGCACCACTTTTCCATACTTGCACCCCCTTGGCCCATTGTGTTTATTTTTATCTTTTTTTGACTTTTTCTTTTTTATTCTGACTTGATATTTTTTGACAAAACATAAAAAATATTAAAAATATTTTTTCGACCATTTTTGTATTTTATTTGGATTTTTGCTTGTTTTATCTGAATTTTGTACATAAATAAACATAATATCCTTTTTATTCAAAATACAAAAATAATCCAAAATACATTTTATTTTCTGATTTTATTTTACTTTATCTTTTGAAAACATTTCCTAAAAAATATACTTTTTTTTTGTAAATATTAAATATTTTATTTTTTGTACATATTTAATATATTTAATAAATAATATAAATACTTATATATTTATTAGTATATTTAGGTTAAAAAACATAAAAATAATACATTTTTATTTTTATTAATATTTGACTTGAAAAATCATTTTTTTACAATATACTTTCTTTTTATTTATTTTTTATACATAATTAATAAATATTGCATATAATAAATAATTAATACATTTTTATTTAGTAAATTAGGGTTTGCCCTAAAAACCTAAAAAATCCAAAAATTAAACCTTTTTATTTTTGTTTATTTGTCACATGAAAAATACTTTTTTACATACATATAAAAATCTTTTTTTGCATCTTGCATATTTTTTGTATTTTATTCAATTATTGTGCAATTAAATATCTTGTAAATTCCATTTGGATGTAATAGTTAGATTTAAATTTCTTGCTAAATATCCCCATTTGAACATATGTACCCCCCATCCCATAATTTGTGTTGTAATAATTTAGGACCTTTAAATTCCGCATTTAAAAGCTTTCTAAATATGCCATGATAGAATTAGGGTTTGTATGCAAAAATCAACCAAAACAAATAGCTTGACCTAATTCCAAGATAAAAGCATGAAAATGAACAAACACCAATCACACTTGCACCCCCTAGGGTTACTCCACTTGTTGCCTTCAATAATGGGCCATGTTGCATGTTAGGTATCTTTGGCAAAACAAAATCAATTCAAATGATCATAGTCCCTCGATGACGCTTTCGAAAGTTGCCTAAAAAATGATCAAGTCCCTTAAAGGAAAAATTGCCCAAAGATACTTGGCACTATTGTAATCATGGTCTAAACGATGACCCGCGCCCGTCCCATTCACATCCTAACACAAGATTGTCCACCAAATCCAATGGTGGAACAAAATTGTTAAAAGGGTTAAAACATAGCAAAGATCTTTGAGAAATTTAGGGTGGATAGCTCTTGGTTACTTGCCAACTTGCAAAACAAAAACACTTGCCTACTTTTCAAAACACACATCACAACACACTTTCAAAATAACTTTCAAAAACATTGAAAACTTTTCAAAAGATAAGTACATCTTTGTATACATCCCAACATGGATCATTACAAAGGTTGCCACCACATTGGCCTCTTTTCAAAATATTTTCAAAACCCACACACAAAGCACCATTTCAAACAATTGAAAATCAAGGCAAGTTGATCTAAGCAAGTAACTAAGAGCCCATGGATAACCATGGATAGAAAGGGTGCTAATACCTTCCCTTTCTATAATCTACTCCCCGAACCCAAGAAAACATCTCAAAGGTTTTTGTTGTGCTTTTTAACCTTTCCTTAGGATAAATTAAAAAGTCGGTGGCGACTCTTGCTCAACCGAAACATTTGCGAAAATAGACGCAAAACCTCAAGTCAGTTCTCCCACCGTATCACAGATACCATCCAATATACAGAAGTGCAAGCTTTTCAGTTTTGACATCATTCAAAACCTTTGATGACAAAGTTGTACTCACAGTTCTTGAGTCTAAGGGAGGATATTTTATTTGGGTGAGGATAAAATTTTAAATTTACCAAGAGTGAATATTTCTCGTGCAAACAATTCTTCTACAGGAAGTAGATATTTTGGTTGTAAGCTAAACCATCTAAAAGCTCTTGTTTATATTGGGGGTTTATCTTAGGAAGTATCTGTTTGGTTCGTGAGTTTCAACTTGGACAAAAAGATATCTTTTGGTTCGTGAAGAATAATCAGTGAAAATATATATAGTGGTTATTGAGCTTAACCTTGTTAAAAGCTCTATTTGTTCGAGATCAACTCGATTAAACTATCTCTTGGTTTTTAAGTTCAGTCTGGTGTAAAAACTTAGTAGATTTGATATCAACCCGATAAAAATCTTGGTTTGGTTTGTGGCTAGCCTATTTAAAACCTTTGGCGAGTTTGGAGGATAGTCAACTCAAAACTTCACCCTGGTTCGAGATCAACATGTGCAAAATCTCAGTTTGGTTTAAAGACTAACCATTCTAAGCCTTATTCACTATTTAATTACAAGTTAGCCTGAAAACTTCATTTTCTTGTATAAGGGGTTCGTAGGCACAACCTTTTAAAATCTTTTAAGTTTAGTGGATACTCTCGATAATAAGTCTTAGGGACATTATTAGGTCTTCTTGGGTGAACGTGTATAATTCTTTGGTATTATTTTTCTTCCCTGATCTCTTTTACCGTCCAATATTTTACTTTACTTTGGTTTTTTGCTGCTTATTTACATAAAATGTTTTCAAACTCTGGTTTTGCAAATAAATTTATTTTTAAACCAAAGTTTTCCAAACATCCACAATTCACCCTCTCTTGTGCATGATGTCACATGTTTAACAATATGAAGAAGGTGCGTATATAACGAGATATCTTACCTTGATCATCATCGGGTTCTCCTTCGCCCTAAACAAGGTCTTCATGGTGTTGTAACCATTTACATGCACTTATTTGTTAGAGAATTCCACCAGCGTGCCTTGTAAATCTTTGAGGTCGTTTAAGTCCAAGATAAGTATTCCGAAAGCATCCTAGTAAAGTATGTCTAAAAAGCTTCCCTAATCAATCAACACTCTTTTAATCTCTCAATCATCACAACTTACAATTATGACCAAAAGGTTGTTATCATGTGGATGGATTCCATATGAGTCCTTCTTATATAAGGTGGTCTCAAACTTTAGAGTTTTCTTTTCGCCTATATCAGGGCTGATAGGTGATCATTTTATAATAAAAAATTTGCGTTCATACCTTCTACGGGCCTAACTGGTCTCCCTTCCCCCCAGAGAATTCTCATGTTATGGTGTTAAAGGTGAGATGTATGAGCTTATCTTCACCTCTTGCTTAGTTCCTTACCCTTTTTGGATCTAAGGCTTATAGAGGTTTCTCTCCCCTGAGAGCTAGAGTCACATGGTGTCTTGACGGAGCCACCTTAAATATGTTTCTTTAAATGACCTTCTTGAATGAGACATTCGATCTCATTCTTAATTTGGTAGTAGTCTTATGTGTGGCGACCCTTGAACTTATGAAACTCACACCACTTGTTAGGTTCAGGCCCCATGATGTCTGACTTGGAGGCTGACATAAAAAGAATATCGTGTTTGTGGAGAACCTCGCGGCATATTTGTTCACGGTGATGCTCAGAGGCTTAAAGTTCCCTGTATGCATCCTGCCCCATTTCAAGGTTGCTTTATCCCTAACAAGCGAGGTATAATGGCTCATGCGCGACTATTGCGAGGTATCAAGATCGCTAGATGTATGCTCCTTAACATTTTAGGTCTTTTCTTTACACTGTTCTCATTGCCCATCATGTAGCGTTAAATGCACGTCACTACTTCTTCCAAGAAAGCAGCAAGCCTTTGGACAAGTGATTCATTAAAATGCTCGACCCTAAGTCCATTTTGGAAGACTCTTACAAACATCTTATGGTTGGGGTGGACGACCTTGATAGTCGCCTCATTGAACCGAGCGAGATACTTGCACAAGGATTTTGAAAGGCTTGGAGAATTTTGAACATGATGGTGGCTGACATCTTCCTGTACTTGTTCGTCAAAAATTGACAGAACAACTTCTTTACTAGGTCTTAGTAGCTGGTAACTTAGAGTCGTGGCAGGCTCATGTACCACCTTAACGTTGCATCCTTAAAGGTACTAGAGAGAAGCTTGCATTGCGAGGATTTGGCGACTCTAGTAATCATCATTTGTGTGTTGATGAAAGCAACATGTTCTTAGGGGTTCCTTCCTCCATCAAAATTTGCAATTTGGCAATTGCCTTAAACTCTCTAGTACAGGGGCTCCCCGTATATCAATAGAGAGAAGTTGAAGGTCTAGAACATCTATCTCCTCATTGGGGCCAGCCTCTTGTTGATGTCGTTGCATGTGAAAAACATTGTCCTATAAAGTCTGATTATGGCGATGCAAATTGTCCTTAGTGGCATGTATCTCTGGTCTGACACCCTGGTTAAAGTCAGAACTACTACTAGTCGAAGTTGATACACCTTTGCTTACCATATTTGATAGAGGGATTGAATAGGTGGATAACAAGTTGACCATCTAATGCAAGAGTAGTCCAAATCAACTTTATCAGGGTTCCATAGTAAGCGTCAATTGTGCTTTCTAAAAATATATAATAATGAGAACCATATGAAAGATTGTATATGGTATTTAGAGTAATTGATGATGTTTAGAACTAACTCACGTAGAATGATAAAAACTCTATTTATATGATTTTTGGTGAATAATCAATCTCCTCTCCACAACCCTATGACTTAAATATAACCATATAAATACAAACATAATCTTAGCAATTGATTTTAATACAACGGTTGAGATTGATTGTTCTCAGTCACATAGAAAACAGTATTTTCATTAGACAAACGGTCTACCAAGCAAGAAGCACTACAGCAGAAGCAGAAAATGCAGATACCCGCTTTCACAACCTCTCAACGCGCGTTTCACCCTCTTATCCCTCCTTCACTTGGAATCAATTACACTTTCCCTTTCAAACACGCCCCTATTCCTTTCCACTCTCTCACCCAAACCTCAGGTACGAACTATTCATATTCTTATCATTTCCCACACATTTGTTAGGTTTTGTTTGGGTAATTCACTTATGTTTCTCTCTGTTTGCAGCTGTTAAACCTATAACTACCCACCACGAAGCGGTTGTTGTTGAACCGCGGTTCATTGATATTGGTTATGTATCCGGTGTTCATGGTTTTCAAGGCGATGTTCGTGTCAAGCCGAACACTGATTTTCCTCAACTACGATTTTCCACTGTAAATTTTATGTTTTTCAAGTTTTTGTCTACGTGTTTGTGGTTTGAAAATCACTTGATTAATATATTGAAGTGTTGTTTCGTTTACTAGCCTGGGAGAAGATGGTTGAAGATGAAGGTTATGAGTGGAGAAACTGTCAAGGAAGTTGAGCTTGAGAAAGGTAGGGAACACTCTGGACAGGATTGTTGGATAATCAGATTCAGAGGAATTGATTCAGTGGAAGAGGTAATAGTCATTTTTAAGAGAGACAAACTGTTATGTGAATCCCAAATTAGGATGAATCACTCCATAAAGTACTAAATGTGTTGACTACTAGTCTGTTGTTGGCTGGCTCACATTAATTCCAGAAAAAGGAAGCCTTTTTGTGAATTTAACTTTGGTTCAATCATCTTCAAAGTCAGTTTGATGCTGTGATGCCAAATGCAAGTGTTACACTTTGTCAAAGTAATTGCTACCTGTCTTTTTTGCTCCTCATTTGGGACTCATGGAATCTAGCACTCATAGTTGCAAATGGAGGATTCAACTCTACTATTTTTCTATGACCTGTTTGATTATATAGGATATGCTTGTGCGTGCTTTTTGGCCTTGACTAATCAACATACACATCATGCAGGCTAAGGTGCTTATTGGTGCTACCTTGCTTGTCACGGAAGAAGACAGGCCTGAACTCGAAGATGGTGAATTTTATGCACGTGATCTCAATGGGATGAGAGTTTTCATGAAGGTTTGTGCTAATCATGAATCGTTTGTGCATGTGGGCAGACAAACTACTTTCCCCTCTGCTTATTTGCTATTTTAGCTTTTTCTTAGGCATCACCTTAAGTCAAACAAAATTAATTTTCTTCTTGAAATGTTATTTCCTTGATATTTTTGTGGTCTGCTATTAACTTGGTAATTCTCCTTGGCAGGCTATTGTGAAAGAAATGGCAATTGTTTGCCATATCAATATATAGTCCTTCATGGAACACTAGTTCATTTGTACCAATGATTTAATAGGCTAAATCCTATTATTTGAGAAAAATGAGAAGAGATTATTATCAATAACATTTATTATTTTGTATAATATTTTATTTTTCTACCTTGGTATTTTGTCGTCTTGTTATTAGTTTTAATCTTTTGAAATATTTGAAGGTGTTGACCATACTTCTTATTAGGAAAATGGACAACTTTTGGGAACTGTCATTAATGTTTTCAATAGTGGAGCAAACGATCTGCTACAAATTTCACTTGATTCATCTTTTGACGTGCTTGATAAAAATGGCAAGCCAAAGGCAGAAGAAATAGAAGCATCTGGTCAGCTTGTTTTGGTGCCTTTTGTTGAAGCAATCGTTCCAGATGTTGATATGAGTAGAAGAGAAATGCATATTACACCTCCCAAGGGACTTCTGGAGTTAAACTTTCGATTTGATGATAGGTCCAAAAAAGAAAGGCGCCAACTTGTAAGTCAGATTCTCCTATTACATTGTGGCCTTTAGGAATTTTCGTTGTCAAGTTTTGTGCTTATTCCTGATCCCCTCTTATCTTTCTCGATCTTTACCTTTTTAAAGAAAAATTGAGGGTTGACGGGTGTTTTTGCCATTGAGCTTTTGTTTTATAATATTTCTGTTTATGTGGCTTTTTTCTCCTTCATAGTAAAGCCCAACGTTCCCAAAACTCAACCCAAAAAATTGTATTTCTGATTATTTTTCTCCTTCTAAAACTTGATATTCCATCTACTATCGAAAAGCAAAAAATATAATCAAATTTAATGTCTTTAACTTTCTATTGAATAACATTGATTTGACACGTCTTTAACCCTTGCATGTGTTTGAGATGTGCCCAAAGAGTGTCAAAACAAAGATTTTTTTTTGACACTTGTCTAAATTGTCCTACACGTGTCTTACGAGTGCTGCTCACAGATCCAAATAGTGGCAAAGCAAAGAAAAAAAATATTTTCTTGAAGACACTTGTCTGAATTGTCCAACATGTGTCGTATCATACAACACATGTGATGAGTTTTGGACACCGCGACATGCCTTATTCTAGAGGTTTCCATGCTTCAATTGTGCTATTCATCCCCAATAACTGCACTTGTATCATTTGGATACTAAATTTTCTTATGAATGGTTTCTCTGATGTGAGGTCTATATGTTTGATTGGGTGTTTTTCACCATGTATAATTGATTCAAATACTTAAATAGTTATGAATAATATTTATTTTTTGATAATTTTAAGGAATGGAAAGAAAGGAGAAAGTTCCAAAAGCGTCTCATAGCAGCAAAAAAGAAACTTAGTGAAATGGATCAACAACATGTATTTCATGGATTTCAATATGGAAAGAAAGAAGAATGGAGCTTGCTTAGTGATCAGATTGTTGGTGTAAACTCCAAATTGCTTCACGATGTTTTTCAAAGTCTTGAACAACCATCCAAAAGGCAAGTAAATATAACAACTATAACATCCAAAGTTTTTTCCCCAGTGAGAAGGGTCCACAACACTAACCAAACAATGTTGTTGTGTTCTATCCAAAACAAATTGTTTAGCAAAGCTGTTTATTATTAATATTTTTTTTATTTTTTTTGCACTTTCAGTGTTTTTGGTCTATCCTTACATCTAATTATTGAGTTATCCTAATTTGATCAACTCTTTCTAACTGGAGATTCTATTAGTCTTCTCCTCACATGCCCAACGCATCTCAGGCACAATTTTACAAACTTCTCCCCAACTGAGGCTCATATGCAAACCAGAATTATTAAGTAACACCCGTATCTCTCATCCCTATAAAAGAAAAAAGAGAAATTATTTTTATAGTTCATATATAACATGTCATTTTGTACATTTCTATTCTATTTGTATTGACACTTTATTGAAGTACTAGATTTCAGACATGATTACTCATCTCTGCCTTTATGAAATGATAGGACATGCTAGCATCTTCTAATTTAACTATTCAATTTGTTTCCTTGCTAAACTTTTCCTTACCGTCATTATTTTCTAGCTTCTGTGTTTGTGTCACCATTACAAACTGTTTTATTGACAGAGGAAAATTATCTTTTACATCGTGTGAATTTTTATTTGAGCTTTAACTTGTTTAAATCAGATGGAATGCAGCTGAGTTGGTCAGTGCCGTGCAAGAAAAACGTATACGTACTATACACATATCGGAGAAGTCTTTCTTAACTGGAAGTAAAGACCAATTGGTTAGAAATATCGTCAATATGCAAGAGAAGGGACTCGAGCTAATTTCTAAGTTACACATATCAGAAAAGTCTTCCTTAAATGAAAGTAAAGACAAATTGGCTAAAAGTTTCATCAAAATGGAAGAGAAAGGACTTGAGCTAATTTCTAAGGGCAAAATGGCTATTGTCTTGCTCTTAAATGAAAAAGAGAATGAAGGATGTGTTTATGATCCTGATGTTGTTGAAAACGAAGCAGCTGAAACTTCAACACTACCTGTGTTTCAAACCTTACTAAGTGATCACGGAAAGTTTTTAAAGGTTGTATAATTGTGATTTTTTTGGTTTTTGGTAAACATCCTTCTGATAAAAATTCATTGTTGCAAAAATTTAGTTGCCCCCATTAGATGGATTTTATATCATAAGTTAATTTTAACCAAATAAGATTCTGTTAAAAATATATTCAGAGATCACAAAATAAAAAACAACCATCTTAATGTTCCGTTCTTCTTGTTAATCTCATTTCCACTATTTTAAAGTGTAATATCTTCTATCTTATGGTTCTTCCTATTCTACTTTGATGATATTTGTTATTAATTGTGGGTAAAAATAAGATGATTTAAGTTATACGCTGATTTGTGAGATTTTATCTGGCCAAGTGTCTTTTGGGAGTGACTATACTACAAGATATACTAAAAAGCTTGTGGTCATCTAATGCATTTTCCTCTTTTGCAGGTCAAAGATCGTGCATCTGTGCCTTTAATCTTGGTTTCTTCAGCCCAACAAATTCAGTCTGTAAGAAACCTGTTTGCCAGGAACAATCACTTTGGATTTGACTCTGAAAAGGTTACATAATGACAATAATCTTTCCTGTATTTTGTATTAACTTGTTTAGGTTAGACATATATTAAAACTTGTCAGTTTCACATGTCTCTTGCAGGTATTCTTCTTGGAGGAAGAGAAGCTTCCCGTTGTCAGGAGTTCACCAGAAGGACACAACAAATACAAGATTTTAATGAAGTCGCCTTGGGAAATACTCCAATCTCCCGTTGGACTGGGAGGATTTGTTAGCCTGTTTTCAAAACATAACATTGCTGATAATCTTATTAACATGGGTGTTGAGTACGTCGAGGTTAGATTATCTTTTCCCCTACACTGAGATCAATACTGATTTTCTATTTACTCGCCATGTAATCTTCCTTAGATTGTTTTAGTCGTTGAACTAATGCTTTTACCTTCTAACGGTTGAGCCATTGTTGAAGTCTATTTGGCTTCTTTCCTAGAGTTATGCTATTATGCTGTCCCTGATTCATTTGTTTTGTGCCATTCTTGTAGTTATGCTGTCCATGCAAAACAACTGTTGGTGGAAACTCACTACTTCTTGGGTTCGTCAATTCGCGGGAAGCCGAAATCGGGATACAAATTTCACCAACAATAGCCGATCCAGGTGAAAATTTTGACATGATATTGTCTATGGATTTTGTAAAGAAGCTAACGAAGCAGAGCTACAAACTTCAATTTGATGCAATCCCAAAGACAAATTCCTATGTTGAGAATGTTGAGAAAGATTGGATAACCGTTACCTCGTCCACCCCAAACTCATATGAGCTGTATTGTAGTGTATATAGTTTCTTAAATGCATGTCCGTTGGATAAGGTTTGTATAGTGGAGGTTAGAGATTAATAATACCATAAATTATATTTAGTGATGAGATGATATATGAAGATAATGCTTCAGAATTACCCAGGTAGAGTAGGAGCATGCATGGTATTTGATTTTCTGTTAAATCCACGGAATAATAAGTTATTCTTTAAATATATTTTATGAAAGGGTATCAGGAGGGTTTCTTTAACCATTAAATGTAAGTGTTGATTAGAACTTTAATTTTTTCTTGGGTTTAAGAATGAAATATTAAAAATTAATTTAAATAAACTTTAATGCGACTTAAACCAAATGTTAAGTAGTTGTCTTGTCTGTTTATATATTTTTAATACATATTTACGAAGAAAAACAAAAATAACTCAGAAAATGCGGGGAACAGCTTGCATGTATTTATTTATCTGTTTACGATTTTTTAATATATGAACAAATTAGAGCTCTCTTTTCTTGTGATAATTTTTTTGTCTTAACTTTTTGATTTTTAGAAGAACTTATCCAATTTTCTTTTAGAGAACAATAAAAAGTGTCTCGTATAAATCTAATGGCTTCCTACATGATATGTCAAAATGGCCACTAAACAGCTCCCTGTCTCTAATATTTGATGAAATTAACATATTATTAATATTAAAAAAATAAGAGTGTGTTTGAATGAGTCATTAAATAAAATGTTTTAAGAAAATTTAAAAAAATTATTATTTGGATAAAAAATATGAAAAATTATTTAAATGCTAAAATTCTATGAAATATTTTGTTCAAATTAAACTTTATGATTTTGAAATAATACTTAAAATCAAAGAATTTCAATTATATATATATATATATATATATATATATATATATATATATATATATATATATAGAGAGAGAGAGAGAGAACGAATTTGAATGTTAAAGATTAATGTTATTATTTCAAAATTATAATTTAATTTTTAATATTTTTAAATTTTACATATTTAACAAAGTTGCAAACTAATCCCTTTTTAAAATTTAGCTCTAAAACATTAAAAATTTCAAAAATAATTTCTAAAATCTAACAATAGTTTATTTTAATGCTCTATTCAAATAAAAGAATAAAAATAAATAAATGTCAATTGAGTAATTTAAATTTCTTAGAGTTTTAAACTTTTTAAAAAAAAATTCAAGATTAGTTTGTCCCAATTCCAAACACATTTTAAGTACAATATTAATTTTTTTTTAGTAATAACGATGTTTTGAAAAAAAACACAAATAATTATGTTTCGGAGAAAATTACGCAAGCACCATCAGTCTCTCCCTCGACTAGAGCAAAGACAATTGGGAAAATATTATTGTTGTCATCTTGTGCAACTGCCATCAGTAGTGTGTCTTTGTATTTCCTGTACAACCACATTCCATCTATCGCAATAATAGGTTTACACGACGCAAACCCTGTGATGCAAGATTGAAAAGCCCAGAACAATCGACGGAACATTCCATTTTCGTTGACACAAGTACCATCTGGGGCATACGCCGACAATGTTTTCATAATATAAACAGACCCAGTAGCATAAGTCAGAAGTGCATGCAGGTAGCGCGGTAGTTCTTTGTATGACTCCTCTCAATTTTCATATACTTTTTCAATCGCCTTGGTCTTTGCTAACCATGTCTTTCTGTATGATGGAGTATAATTGTATATTATAGTGATGTGAGAGATTATGGTTTTCATCTTCAATGACGAATCATTGCTGACGAGATGTAAGATTTCTTGACATATTAAATCATAATTTAGTTTACGATGATCTTGTGATTGAGTAGAATTAACGCAAGTGTGAGTGGATATAGAACCTATCACCCAACAATCACTTCTCATCTTGTATGATGCAGTGAGTCTCAACATTATGGAGATGCACCAAAGCGAGCGTGTTAAGATGCAATTCGAAATACATTAAGAAATACCATGCGATCCAACCTGTTTGTCACCTTGACATCTCAAAAGGGTCGACGCCCAATGGGGTATTAATAATTGGAAATATTTTACTCCAGAATGGTGTACCATGTGGAAAAGGCGTCACCGACATGTCTTACAATTCCCTGTTTTCCTTAACCAGAATAATATGCGACACACAAATCAGTATATTGATTGATACATATCGGTTACTAACCCTGGAATGCATGTGTATCACCCGAGGAATTTGATTGACCCACTCACACAATAGACACAATCATACACCACCCAACAATAACTCCAACAACAAATTCAACACACATCAACCTCCCACCAAACACAACGGCGATACCGATCCGCCAACACCCAACCCTAAACCCAAGACCAATACCAATACACCCACAAACCCCACACACAATTCCAATACTCTTAACAAAGACCATACATTTGACATCCCGATGAGGGTCCCTCGTCATCTCACCTTAGCCTAGACCTTGGCCTACCTGAAGAATATTCCCCAACCAATCCAACTTACCATCACCCATCACATCACCATAGCACCCAACAATCACAATATCAAATCCCACAAGATTCATTTCCTTTTTACCCCCTTGTTAAGACGACCAGTGCTATCAACCCCTCATGGAACCTCACCCCCAACCAATACGACCAAACTTTGAGGATACGGGTAACCGACTGTTTGAAAGCGGATCTTCCAAATATGATGATCTGACGACTTTCATGGATCCTGAACACATTGACTTCGCAGGATCTTCGACCCAACCGCAGCAGGAAATACGTCGAAACGCACTACGAGTTAGGCGAGGCGCGTGTGCGGAACTACGGGTCGTTATCGAGTCCCTGGAGACAATTAAAGAATGTGTAATTTTTATTCTCATTATGTAATCGTTTAATTATTATTGAAAATCAAGTTTCATTTACAACGACATTGCCTTTTATTGCTTTAACAAAAAAAAACTTTGTGCCTAGGCGCCATCTGAGATAACTCAAGACAAATGACATGCACCTAGACGCCATCTCACTTGACGCCTCCTGCAAAAAAATCAGTACATATACTATCTGAGATAACTACCGCATTATAACATTTTCTGAAACACGATTATTTGTATATTTTTTTTCCTTCAAAATATGGTTATTGGTAAAGAAAATTGTACAATATTATTCAAACTTGTAACTTATTATTTGACTGAAAAAACAGAAAATGAGTAAAAAAAGAAATGAACAATTTTTATTTGATTTTATATATTTATGTAGCTCAGGGTGTCTGGCTTTGTCAAAAGAAGAAACTGAAAATTTCACTGTGTTGAGAGTTGGGAGCTTATTGTAAGTAACTAGCGAGCGCGTGAGAGTTGGGAGCTTTCTCATATAACATTGGATCTGATTTGTGTTACCGTCAGAGTACCAAATCGCATGACATGGACGCTTTCAGGAAACAAGCTAGCAAACTAAGAGACCAAGTTGCCAAACAACAACAGGTTCGAGTTTATGCGAATTTGTGATATGCATTTGAATTTGGTGCTGTGTGAGTTGGATTTAGGTTTTGATTCAGTTACCATGTAATATATCTTTCAGTTTGTGATCTGAGTTTTTGTACTTGTTTTACCAGGCTGTAATTAAACAGTTCAGCGGTAGCGGTTACGAGAGCTCCGATGTTGTGGTCATTGATGAGGTTGAAATGCAGAGACATCAACATATGGACAAGTTGTACAGGGCTACCCGTGCCGGCAGGGTATACATTTTCTCTTCTTTTCTAGATTAATCATTTTATCTTGCTGTTAATTGACATGCTCAAAACTATCATCTCATCCAGGACTTCCAAAAAGAAATTGTTAAAGCAGCAGAAACATTTACAGCTATAGGTTATAAGCATATTGAAACAGGTGAAAAATTAGCATATTGAAACTATCCAATTATGCTGTTTCTTTTACAGCTATAGAATTAGAACCACTGTACAGTTTTATTTATTCACTAGTGATTTGTGAGTAAATCCTCATAAACAATAGCTATGGTAGACAGGAACAAAACTTTCTGAGGAGTGCTGTAGATATGGAGCAGAGAACAACAGTGACAACATATTGGCTAAGGCAGCGTCAGTTTATGGCGATGCTCGCAAACATGTAGAAAAGGAGCATGAAGAATTGAATCGGCTTTTATCTTCCCAGGTCAACTTTTCATATGTTGTCTTGGTGTATAAGTTTTTTAATGGAAGTTCAACATGTGATCTGTTAGAATTGTCAAATTGCTTTTGCAAAAAAGATTTTAGGTTACGGTAAATTATACCAACATCTGTTAAGGTTTTGAAATATAGTATTGACCTCTTACTTTTAATTCTTGTCGAACACATATACCCTTTTTGACACCCTTTTGCACATGTTCAAATATATGCTATGGATATTTATTCGTTTTGATACCATAGGAGGCCTTTTTGATATTTCAAATCCTTGAGGAAGGTAATCTACTATTCACATTATTGTCAAATTAGAGGAGAGAAGCATGAATCAAATGGTTTCAGTTTCCAGGTTTTGGATCCTTTGAGACAAATGATCATTGGCCCGCCTTTGGAGGATGCTCGTCATCTTGCTCAGCGGTATAGTCGGATGAGGCAAGAAGCAGAGTCACAAGTAAGCCAAAGTTTGGAATGAATTTGCAATCTCTATAATTAAATCACACAGTAACTTGATACAATTTGATTCCTTATCTCATGTATGGAATGAACACTGAAATTTTGGATTCACATTAACTTTGTTGCATTTTAAAACTGGAAAAGCAGAAACAAATATCTTTTTTCTAAAAGGAGATGGGGGAGGGGGGAGGGAATTTATTCGAATCACTTCATTGTGTGGAGTTTTTCTTCTTCTGAATCTTATTATAATCAAATTGGTTTTCAAAATTCATATAGAAAGAAGAGATTTCTAGAAGACAAGCCCGGGTCAGGGAATCTCAGACTGCTGAGCATGTTGCTAAACTGCATGCTGCAGAAGCTAAGATGCAGGAGCTGAAAGCAAACATGGCAGTTCTTGGTAAAGAAGCTTCAGCTGCATTGGCTGCTGTTGATGCACAACAGCAGAGACTGACTTTTCAAAGGCTTGTTGCTATGGTA